GTCTATTGAGATTTTTCTATCTCTTCTAGAGTTGGCTTTGATAATTTGTGTCTTCCTAGGAATTTGTCTTTTTCATCTTAAGTGAGCTAACTTATTATTATAAATTTGTTTGTAATTGTTTTATAAGTATTTTGAGTGTGATTTATAGTAGTATCCCACTTCTTTTATTTTTTTGAGACAGAGTCTCATTCTGTTGCCCAGGCTGGAGTGCCATGGCACCATCTTGGCTCACTGCAACCTCCATCTTTCAGGTTCAAGCGATTCTCATGCCTCAGCCTTCCAAGTAGCTGGGACTGCAGGCATGTGTGCCACCACGCCTAGCTGATTTTTGTATTTTTAGTAGAGACGGGGTTTCACCATGTTGGCCCAGGCTGGTCTCAAACTCCTGACCTGAAGTGATCTGCCCTCCTCAGCCTCCCAAAGTGTTGGGATTGCAGGCGTGAGCCACTGCTCCTGGCCAGCCTCCTCTTTCATTCTTAATTTTGGTAATTTATGTCACTTTTCTTTTTTATTAGTCTAGCTAATAGTTTATGTATTTTGTCAATCTTTCCAAATAACTAACTTTAGGTTTTATTGCATTTCTATATTGTGTTTCTGTTTTTTGCTTCATTGACATCTGCTTTGATGTTTATTATTAATTTCCTTCTGCTTACTTTGGGTTTGATTAGCTTTGCCTTCTTTTCTTTATGAGGTTGAAGCTTAGTTGATTGATTTTAAAATACTTTTACATTTATGTATTTAATTTTTTTTCCTTTTTGTGTTTTTTTCTTGTTTTTTCCCACCCCACCCTCCCTGCATTTCTAATATAAACATTTAAAGGTATACCGTTTTTTAAAGCATATTTTTAAGTACATCTTATCAATTTTGATATACTGTATTTTTATTTCCATTCAAGATACAGTTCTCTCTCTGTATCTGGAGGTTCTGCATGTGGATTCAGTCAACCATGGGTCAAGAATATTCGGGAAGGCAACACCCCAAAAATGAAAGAATAATACAAATACAAAAATACAATATAGTAACTAGGTATATAACATTGATATTGTATTTGGATTATAAGTAATCTAGGTGTGATTTAAAATATGTGGGAGAATGTTCATAGGTTATATGCAAATACTGTACCATTTTTTAATAAGGGACTTGAACATCCTCAGATTTTGGTATTCAGGGTAGGAGGATGTCTTGGAACCAATCCTCCTTGGATACTGAGGGACAACTGTATTTTGTAATATTTCTTACTTGATTCATGGGTTATTTAGAAGCATGTTACTTGTTCCTGTTGTTAATCTATAATGCAATCATTATTGATTGGAGAATATACTTTGTATGATTTCATTGCTTTTACATTTATTGAGATATGCTTTATATCTTTGGATGTGGACATTACTAGAGAATGTTCCTTATGTTCTTGGAAAGTGTATGCATTCTGTTGTTGTTGGACGGAATGTTCTCTAAATGTCAGTTAGGTAAAAGCAATTGATACCATTGTCTGGTCTTCTGTATGCTGGCTTATTGTCTCTGTAGTTCTGTAAATTCTTGAGACAGGATTATCAAAATCTCCAAGTGTAAGTTGAACTGTGTATTTCTTTTTTTTAGTTGTGACACTTTGGCTTCATGTATTTTGGTGTACTGTTATTTGCAACTAGGTTTTAATTGTTCTGCCTCACTGAGGTACTGAATCATTGAAAAATGTTCTTTTTTAGCTTTTAAAAAATATTTCTTATCTTAGTGTCAATTGTCTCTGTTGTAAATATAGTCATATGTACTATTTACACAGTATATCTTCTGTTCCTATACTTTCATACTTTTTGTGTTTTTGTATCTCAGATCTGTCTCTTGTAGACTGTATATAGTTGGGTTTTGCTTTTCTATCTGGCTTGCTAATTCCTGTCTTTTGATTGGAATATTTAGTCCATTCTCATTTGATGTAATTATTGATATGACTGAATTTTTGTCTGCCATTTTGATATTTGTTTTCTATATGTCTCGTCTTTTTTGTTCTCCTTTACCATTTTTTAAATTAAACCAACACTCTTTGTTGTATTATTTTATTTTCTT